TTTTTATTGCATTTTTGATTGGAAATTTTTTCCCAAAATTCGTCGTCGTGGCGCAGTAAGTTGCGGGATTAGGTGTCTTGCACTGTATTACAAATAGAAAACTCTAGATAGCAATACTTACACAAACATGACTAATTCGAGAAAAATCTCACAAGGAGTGATTTGGCTCACAAATTAATAAAATTATATGATTCGGCGATAGGTCCAGGCCTAAAAAATGAACAATCCAAAGAAATATTCTTTGATGGTTTATCTTTAAAGAAGAAAAACGAAGTCATTTGATTTGGAAAAGACAAATCTTTGAAGGATATACTAGAAAATGGAATATTATCGTGAATCAGCACCAAATATCGACTCAGGCACTATAGACCAAATGGAAGCAAAGAAGCTACGTTTTGGATTAACGAAACAAAGTGATGATGATTCGATAGAAGAATTTTAATCGAAATTGAAAAAAATGGTAGATTTCAACTTGAGATGCAATTCTCTATGGATTATCGCCAGGAAACCAGGTTGAAGTAGCGGATTTAACTATAGAAAAAGATAGATGAAATTGGGCGTTTATTACGATAAAAGAGGGGGTGTGTTCCATATCTAAGTCACCTATATAGATAACGTGTGTTATATGAAAATAATCACGTTTACTCCGATCACGTTAAAACCCCGTCGATAATGGGAATTAATTGTTATGTGAATCCCTACATAATAACAAAATTTAATTGTTGCGTGGGTCCATCCATCATCATTTTAAACTTTGTTATTTATCGAATGCTTTAAATGTCACAGTGATGAAATTAGAATAAATTTATTAAAAGTCGCAGCATTATCTTAGACGTCAAGTTATTCTGAAATAGTCAGAGAATGAATGAGCGACGCGTCGTAACTTACGTGTATCATCGTAGAAGGTAAAACCGATACAACTATTTTCTCGAAAGTTCACCTCCGCAAAAAAAAAATAAAAAAAAATAAAACGTGATAGGTAAAATCTAAAAACAATTATACTAAGGTTGGTTTTATCAATTGTTTAATTGTGTGTTTCTTGTTAAATAAATTATGATTTGATTTTTAAAGAATTGTACGCGATATTAATCAATGTGAAAAGAATGAAATGTCTTGCCAATTCTTTCGTCTAATTAACAAAAGTTAGCCAATTTCATACCAATATCCATTCCTTTGGGGAGATCACAAACTTCACTGATGTTATTCTTATTCACACCTTTGGATTGATTAATCCGATTATTATATATGGTGGATATTGAGTAATTAAAAAATATGAAAAAATAAAGTTACGAACTGTTTAATTTTGTGGGGGTCAGGATCACAACCCCGTTACATAATAAAAATCATTATTAGTAGATTTATATGAACTTCCATAATGAACAATAGTCCAATTATTAGTCCGAGATAGTATTGCTTGTGATTATATGGCTTAGGTTTTGACCGTTCTACATATAAATCTTGTTTTTTATCGTTCTTTTATGATTTTTAGTTAAAAAAGACGAACACCGGTCAAAATAATAACACATTTAATATTAATGTTCGTATTATTAATTGCCAACTTGGATATATAAACCTAATTAATAATTGTGCTTTTATCCTTTACAGTACGCCATAACATTCAAATAAACATTAATATATATTTAATGAATAAATGTTTGTATTATAATTGGACCTTTGGCCATTACGGCACGCACACATTTAATGAATTTCTTACTAATAAATGTTTTAAAATGTTTGTATCCAGTTATTAATTGATTAGAACTTGTATACATGCCTGATTTATAATAAAGATTTGTCCATTGCAGCAAGCGCACGCTATTTTATTAATGTTTGGGTATGAATCCACGATTAAATTTTTTTTTCGCCCTTTTTTGGGGCAACACTAAAAAAATAAATAATTATCCACGAGAATGAAAATAATTTTTATTTTTATTGTAAGAAAAATTAGTAGATTACTACAGTTCATATATGGAAATAAATCAAATGATTATGATATTGTGGTGAAAGAATAACAATTGTACCAATACATACATATTAATATGATAAAAATAAATAAAAATTAATAATAATAATAATAATAATAATAATAATAATAATAATAATAATAATAATAATAATAATAATAATAATAACAACACTTTTAATATGTTCTTCCTTATTACCAATGTAAGGAGGTCCAACTAAAATTAGTTGAACACCTAAAAAAAATCACAGGTGTATTTATTATTATATATCTAATTGTCAAAAATCCCAAAGTAAACAAAGTTAAACAAATTTGAACCTGTTATAGCACAAATTGCTTATGTGAAACTTTAATTGGTAAGTGATAATAAATATTTGTGGAGAGTTGAACATAAGATCTGTGTTAGTATAAATCCTTACCAGTTGACGTAATGAACAGGTGACATTTAATCCCGAAATGGATTATTTGTGTTTGATAGACATTACATGCATGGAAACATTCTAATGCAGCAGAAATATATTTAATTGATAAATTGTGATATTATTTTACCAAGAGGGGGGGGGACATGTCATCAACCATGAATTAATAATTTTGCGTTTCAATGAAAGATTTTATAAGTTCAAAGCATCTGCGTACAATTGCGACTGATATGTAATCATTGGGTTGGATTTTCAAGCAATGGTGTTTGTCATGTGAATCAAGACTTGTAAGGAAGGTGGGAAATTATGTTGGCCCAAACTTAAAATCTGGTTTTAGTCAATGAATGGGCTATGTAATTACTTAATCTTAATTACCAGTGATCACATTTAATAATCTATTTTTAGTTTAAATTATATTTTTGTAAATAATGTTAAATATTTTGATTATTACTTGTTTTATTTTTTAATTAATATAAAAAAAGATGAAAGACTATTTACAAGAAAAGAAAAGATTTATTTTTAAAAAGTGGTCTTAATTTTATTATATGTATATATCAATTATATATATCATACAGCCAAGGTATTGCGGAATTGATTGTTTTTCACAGGGATAATATTCCCATTTTTACAGTATTGTTCTTTTATATAGTATAATGGTGTATTATCATCGTCGTCATTATCATCATCATCATCATTATTGGTGGAACCAATTGATTTCATCGTGAATGAACAATCAAAAAAACCTAGAAAATCGTCATCATTCAATGTATCGACATCGGAAATTGTTGATTTGGTCGAGGATGAGGAGTAAGAACGGACTAGCGTATTTGTACTACTCGAATCACTTGACGTGCTCATCTTACTTAATCTGTTCTTTCTACGGGCTAAAGGTATATCCTTTACTATAAATTCATCTGAAGATTCATCATAGATTGTTAAACAGTTATTTTTTAGATAAGAAGGTCGAGATGACGGTAAAGGTAAACCGCAAAGTGCTAAAGTTGACTTTCTTGATCTTAAACTATTACAGTAATTATTACTGTTGTTGCTATTACCACTGTTATTATTCCATTTCACATTTATTTCAAAAATTTTTGCTTTATAAACATTTAATTCCCTGCGTTCTCGTTCTTGAATTGAATCATTTGATAATTTTTCCAAGATATTATTTAATAAAATGACTCGATGTAATGGTTGTGATTGATATTCTTTGTTCATAAGACGTATTTTGCGTATTGTACGCACATAAGCAAAATGTTCAACTGATCCACATATAACCTTTATATTATCCATTACTCTATTATTATTGCAATTGTTGTTTGATGTTGTTAGTGATGGTGATGGTAATGATAAGGGTGATAATAATGTTGGTGATTTTAATAATGTATAATTGGATGCAGTGATCTTGTATTTGCTTGATCTTTGATCAAATGATAAAACCGATAATCTCTCGTTCATAAAATCCGGACTCGCATTATAATTATTATAATTGTAATTATTATTTGATGACAAAGGTTTATTAATAATTATATCGTCTTTTATCCTACGATCTTTATTAATAAAATAGCTGGAAAAAGAAGATCTTGAAAGTTTGATTGATTGTTTTGATTTTTTATTGGTTGATGATGATGGTGGTAGTGGTGGTGGTGATGATGATGAAGATGAAGATGATAATAATGATGGTAAAGATAAAGATGATGGTAATCTTAGGTTATTGTTGTTGTTGTTGGCGTCGTTAATGTGAGTTGATGATGATGACTTTGTGTTTTTTTTAGAGGAAATCATCATGCCTTTTGAATTTTTTTGATTATGAGTTATTGAGGTTGTTGTTATTGCTGCTGCTGCTGTTAAAGTTTTTTTTTTTGATGATGATGAAACACGATATTTTGTCCATTTAGTTAACTTTGATAATAAAGATGATGATTTTGAGGTTAATAATTGTTTATTATTAATATTGTTGTTATTAATGTCTTGATTCATTAGCGACATCGCTATTGTTTTTTAAAAGATTTTTGAATTTGAAATTGATTTTCTTTACTAAAAAAAAATCTAAGATATTTTATAAAAAAATTAGTATGAGAAAAAAAAAGAATAATATAAATAAATTATTTTTTTTGGCTCACAATTAAAAAAAAAAAAAAAAGAGAATAATAAATAAAAATACATGATGATGACAGAATACCATCATAAAATAATCATTTTAATTATATTATAATTAAAATAAAAGTAAACTTACCCTCTATATATAATATATAAATAATTTTTGGCGTTTGAAAAATAAAAAAAAATTATATATATATATATATATATATATATATATATAAATATAAATATATATATAAAAAGTTGAAATTGGGGTTTTTAAACAAGAAAAAAAGTGAAATATTTTTTTAATTTAAATTATTTATAATAAATAAAACTTTGAATTAATTGTGTATATTTTGTTTGTTTTCTATTCGAATTTTTCATTCATAAAAAAAAAAAAAATGGAAAATTTATTTTTATAATTTAGGGAGACGAAGGGAAAATTTTTTAATGATTATTTACGAAGGTAATAATATATCGACTAATGAATATCTATCGTCGATAAATATAGATTGAAGGATAAAATTTACATGTATATTAGTAAAAGAATACATATAGGAAAAAAGGTTAAAAAATTTTTTTTAACAAAAGGAAATCATCAAAATTTATACAAATTTTTAATAAAATATAGGTCTAAACGTAAAAAATGTTGTTTGTTACATCGAGGGCATTTGTTTGTTTGTACCTTGCGCTTATTTCTTTAAAACCGCGAGTTTTTGACCAAAAGAGAAATTTATCATATTTAATATTAATATCAATTACTATTATATCATCTTTGTTCTCGATAATTACTCTTAATTTGTTCGTTTTGGTAAAAAATAAAATTTAATACCTATTTTACAAGTTGTGAAACCTCCTCTTAATTTAATTATGTCACAGGAAGGAAAAGATATTTTTTTTTTAATTAAATTAACTTGAAAATCACAAATTAAAGTTCGCAAAACAAATAACAATAAAACTAACCACCTGTCACAATCCTAACTAACTAAATCAATAACGAATAGCAATAATTGATAATATATTACCATGCTTCTACTTTGTCAATGTCGTTGTTGCCCGTCACTGCTCTCGTTGCCTATTAATCGATATTGCAAAAAATTTTAAAATCTTGTTTCTAACTTGTTATTTTCCAATTGACGTTATGGATGTATACCAACATAAAAAAACAATATTTGTTTATTTACAATAATGATAAAATAATAATAAATAACTAATATATTGGTACTAGCAATAATAATAATAATTAATGATAATGGATGATGCGAAATATTACGCTAAACATTTTAAATTCACCATCATCGACTTTATAACACCAAACAAATGCAATTTCCTATTTTGTCAAAAATTCATAAACTAAAAATGTTGTCCTTGTACAATTTTGTCATCGTTTACTACTATTTACTATCTATTATTATTTATATTCGCTTCATTGTTATAATTGTTATATAATTAATTGCAGTCCACTCGACGATGTATATATCTTGTTTGCCGAAAAAAAGAATTTGACTACATATTGTTGTTACACTTGACGCATTAATTTCATATGACAAAACATTATAATAATTATAATAGAAAGTAGAAATATTTGGTGACGATAAAATCCAAATTCGCATATATAATTGTATTGTATTGTCGGGTATTTTTAGTTTTTTTTCTCGCTACTTGTAAATAAATTAAGAAATGTGTAATAACTAGATATTTTTAAAGAGTGTTTAATTCAGCAAAAATAAATAAATAAATAAATATCATCGAATCAATCTTAACTTTATTTATAGTTTCTATTTATGTAATTTTTACTACTAGCCTTATTAGTTAATGGAGACCGAGGAAAAGTAAAATAAATCGAACAACGGAAATTATTAATTATAACAAATAAATAAATAAATATTTTTTAGTTTTTTTTTATGGTTATTAAGGAAATGTGAATAGTCTATATGCATTGTGTAAATAGGACTTTTTCATTTGAGCTAGAAACACGTGATTTTTGCCAAACGCCTGTATTATTTGTAATTAAGACATGTATGGTTGGAATGGGCCAATTGAACAAGTGAATATCAAATCGCGATAAACAATTTAATCGATTGATTTTTAATTGTTTATATTCGTTAAATAACCTTTTCTTTTTTTCCCTAGAAACATTACATTTGTTCCTTTTATTTATCAATTTATAATAATCATTGTACTTTGGGAATAATTAAAACAAATGCACAGGACTATTCCGTAATACAGTATCATAAAAAATCGTGAAAGCAGTCCGGTTCTGCCATTGACGATTGACATAATAAGATCAACAACAAGTTCCTGCCCTGTTTGCTGCGCAGCATTTTTGGGGACAAAATCAAAAAATTCCTGTAAAAATTCAATGCCACTTTATTACGTCAACAATATGATGCGAGCGTGCTCAACTTCGATAAGTCGGCCTTTTGTTGGAATTCTTTTTTACTAACTTTGATTTCTCGAAATGGTAACGGGATTTTGTATTGTGTCATTGGTATCTTGTATTTGGTAATTATTAGATGGTTGAACATCTTTATTTATTTATTTTTATATTTTTATTTGTTTATATTTATACAGGACGTGATTATGGTAAATTTTATGGATTTTTATAATCAGCGATAATTTGGTATTTTAGTATCAATATGCCGGATAAAATTAAAGTGGTATTGATTATCTTTCTTTTTTGGATGACTAGTCTTTTGACTCTTTCGATTAACCCATTGAATCTACTAATTCTCGTTTATTTCACTTTCTTGTATTTCTGATCGTTCAATTGAGTAGCATAATTTTCAGAATGAAATTTTCTTTCCATCATGATTCATCATTACTAAAATTAGTAGGAAACAAGGTATAATTAATCATTTACCTACCATACATTAAGTGAGATATATTTGTCACACCAAAGTTTCCATTTGTATAACAAAGTCCAAAGTTCAATGGGCTGAACACTGAAAATACATCTTAATATGTATTGAACATTATGCCATAAAGGAACAAAGAAACTTTGTTTAACATCACAATCGTTTCTTGTTTAATAACAATCTCAATATCCTCCATATTATAATGATTGAGTAATCAATCAATCCAGATATAAATCCCTACTAGTGAAACGTCCTATTCCTCGCTATATATGTATATATGTATATGTGTATATGTGTATATGTGTATATATATATATATAATAAAGGAAAATAAAAATTTATACCAAGTTGGTTATGGAAACTAATCCTTTATTTCAGCGCCGTCTGGAAAAATGTTTTTATTATCAAGATGATTATTATTTTTTATTGGTAAAGATATTTTTATTATTATATATATTATTATTATTTCCACTCGGACAAAGCCAAAGACACATGCAAAAAGAAAAGTCAAAATCTAAAGCCATTTAAATGTTTGAAGTTTTTCATCAAGTTGCTCTATGATTTCCAATGAGTCATGCATGACAAGGAATTCCTTTGTGCTATTATAATATTCTTTAAAGAAAGGTAAAGTGATCATCTGAGAATTGTTAAAAAGTGATTTTTTGAATTTGTTCACTGATGTATTTAACTAAAGAACCAATAATATTCATTTCTCTCACCATTTATATTAGAACTTAAGGGTCCGTGTTAATTTTTAGCTTGGTTCATTTGCAAAGCGTTAAATGGTGAATTGTTAAATACAATGTTGTTTATTATCTGTGGTTAAAATATATAAATTTTGACTCCAAGTTAGTATTAGAGTAGCAAAAATGATTCTAATAATAAACTTCCCACTTGACCTTTAAGACTTGTATGTCTTTAAATATTTCTCATTTTGAAGAGTTTACACCAGCATCAGTAGATGTCAATCCACCATGTTCGTAATTTGCTTGTATTAAATCTTTTGTGACTTGTTCTCTTAATACTATTCATTATCCATGTCTTCATCCATAGATTCCACCCACCACTATCATCATTTTAGTGTGTCTTATATTATGGATTTGTTTTATTGAAAGAGATGATGAAAATGGAAATTGCAAATGTTGACGACTGCACTTTATGTTTTTCTTAACTACTTTATTTCCATCATTTTTCTGTTTGCTTACAACAATGATTATTATTACCATTATTATAGTCCATCATCATAATATTAAAAAAGAAGCCACATTTGCGACTATTATAAGGAATTCGTAGTGATACCTGTCTAACTAAAGTGAAAAGTGAAGTAAGAGGTTGTGAATTAAACAAATCTACAACAACATTGATTAAAAATAAAAATCAGGTGCACAATCATATCAATTGTCATTTGGTGAAATTCATTGTTGGTACTACACAACTATTTCAAAAATTGATGATGATGAAGGTTTTGTTTGAGGAGTAAACAAGAAGAAGTTTTAATTTTTTTTTCTTTTAGATAAAAATCCCTTTTTTTTGTAAAGAATGATAAACTTTATTGATTGCCATAAAAATCGATTGTTACAATTTGCAGATCAATTTAATCAATCTCTCTAGTGTGCATATTAATTAAACATATCGTGCATATACTATATAGCATAAAATGTAACCACACCTGACCATATTAAACGAGCTGATTGGTGGATTTTCTGTTTAGGAGATAGATAATTTCACATAATCAGTAGACGAATTTGATAGTGATAAAAATTCGTAAATATCAAAAGAAAATTGAAACTTGTATTATACCTGATTATTTTTGACTTCTGTTCAAGATTTTCCCAAAATGTAAGTTATTAGAGGATAATAAAAGATGATAACTAACATTTAATATTTTAAAAAATATACAATTAATTCAAATTTATTTTATAGATGGAGTGAACTCAATTTTTTACCAGTTATTATGATTGATATATTTCAATAATGTATTTTTTAACTAACCATCTAAGAACTATGGAAAATCTACACAATAAATAATTTTTATTAATACACAAGATTCTGCATTTTTTAAAATGTCATATATGTATTAGCATCTTGGCACAGTTGAATGTTTTGTAAGTGGTTACTTTGTTTACCTTTTAATAAAGAATTAAACAGAACATAGAATTGTCATGGATTACGAGAAAACTTTGTTCATAGGTATATATATTCAACCCAAAATGTAATGTTATTCTATTTTTAAATTCATTATAATGGCACGCTAACAACGAAACTGTGACAGGTGTCCATAACGAAAAAGGGAGATAGAAGATAGATTACAAGGTGTGCAAGTCAATGAATTAGGTTACGACCATCCTCTTTGGTATATTAGATGACACCTCATTACCTATCGCTAATATATCAGAAGAGTCTCGCAAAATATTCAATGAGCCAAGCAAAAAATTTTATTATCTGCGAATAGCTGTGAAGAACTTACTCACAAAGAGAGAAAGAGTGAACACATTAAAAATTTGGTTTGGTATATTTTTAGATAACTGATTGGATGGATGCTAGGCGAATTTGTGTGACCACTACTTTAGAAAATTCATATATGCATGGGAAATTTTACTATTAATATAGAAAAATGCAATTTTCGTATGGAAATGTATTAGCATTAATATCATTATATTAATATTATATAGTAATAGGAAAATGACTCGGGAAAAAGTACGGAAAAAGTATAATTTTCCGTACATTTATTTCTATATATAATATATATTAATATAAAATAGTTGAACAATGTATAATAATAGAAGGCGTAATTTTTCCGAGGCATTTTCCTATATTTTCTTGCGTAGTCATATCTGCGAGATATTATCGCTATTATTAAGCGCCGTTTTTTGTACGGAATATGCATATATGTGCCATCCATAGTAGTCCTGATTTTTTTTTCGCGTATATTACTCATAGTGCGAATAGTGTATTATAAATGCGCGCATAATAATAAGAAAACAAATAGCATATTAATATATAATTTTTTTTTAGAAATATTTATTAATAAACAATGTCTGTAAAAAACATAGCTAAAACCTTATGAGTAGCATACTAGAAACATATATATTATACATAAAAAGAGCGCTTTTCCGCGCATATTTGCCCTAAAATGTATTGGAGGGTACGGAGTTTTCAGAAAATGCCCCGAAAAAATACATTCCATACATTTTCCGTGCTTAATAATAATAACAAGGAATTCTATGTTGGCATAAATACTAATCCTGAAAATACATATTGTCTAATTCGCATATTATTGACTTTCAGGACTGGAATTGTGTGTACTATACGAAATATTCTATATACACTAGTAACTATTCAGATGAAATCCGCTTCAACCGTCTCAACTTCACTTCCTCGCCATTTTTAATAAATTAACTTATATTTGTTAATAAAAATTTTTTCATTGTATATTGATATGTAATACCAATAATTCTGCGTGTTATAAACCTGATGAATACATACATGTGAAAAAACCAGTTAATTCCTACACATATTGGCCTTGCCAGATCTGCCGAGAATATTTGAATCAATATTATTTGCTTCTAGAATCTACATATCTCTTCATACTTTGCGGAGCACAAAGTGCTCTAATCAAATACTGCCTTTGTATCTTCTTACGTATTTCTATTTATTACAATTATATCTCCATCACCCATGATATGCATATATTTATTTCTGTTTTGATATTGTAAATATTGCATAGGATTTGTAGTGAATCTACCTTGAGATTTTCATTTGTTATTCTTGATTTGCGAGTTGATCTGTGTAGCGACGTATTATATCAAAGTATAGTCATTCAAATTCTTAGGCAAAAAAAATAAAAGTTTCGTCAGAGCCAGCAATGGTAGATCATTAGATTATACCAAATACTCATTTTTTTCGCACCACAACATCAGACACAATACAGTTCCCAAAGTAAAATTAACTCAAATGATAATTCTTGAGCGATTGGAAAGTATGTATAATTCTGGATTATTTGTTTGGCAATCTTTAGCAGTGGTAAGTCGTCCTTCACTTAATATTGTCTATACCAATGGAAATACCCCAAGAATTCCTAAGGACATATTCAATAAAATAATCTATAAAATGGAACATACAAGAGATCCTACCACAAATACACAGGGATGACAACCAATGCAACTTTCCCAATCCCCTGGGAATGTATCAACGAACTTGGATGTGATTATGATATGATAGATATCAAAAGTGTATTGAACTAAAATAAAAGTGATAAAGGCAATAGTTATTCCAAATCAGATCCAACATCTTATCTGAACTTTTCCTTGTATTTTAAAAATTCAGGGCAAGGAATGCAGGTGTGTTATGTTACATGTTAATTCGTGATTCTTTTAAGAAGGAGTGAATTTTATTGTAACATTTTATAGTACAAATCACCCGGTTCGCCTTACGTTCCTATTGTAACATGATGTTTCCACTTGCATTTTTGTAAATCAAACATTTGGATTCAATAAACAGACTGTTATGAATATTTTTATCAAAAAAAATTTTTTTTGTTCAAGCCGTTTTTGCTATTTAAATCTTGGTTTGGGGATTATGGGTATAAAATCAACATAATACAAAATAATGGTTCATCAAATTCTTTCTCAGCTGATTCTTTTTTATGTTCTCTACTAAAACGTGTTACTCATTTGCATCCAACTTACCTGCTTCTACTCTTTGTTTTAGATCTGTAGGCATTTCTTATCTAGATTTCTGACAAAAAATAGGCACTTAGAAGTTGTTTTACTTGCTCAGACATACGTCTACTTTCACTATGCTTTCCAAAAATTGTTTTTCACAAAGAGCTCAGCCCAGTTCAAAGTAATTCATTTTAAAATTAAAAATTTTTAATTAACATCTAGAAAATATTTATTATATTAATTTTTTTCTCTATAATGGACCATTTGGTTTAGGAAAAAATGTCCGTTATAAACAATAATGATAATAATTTATATATATACATATAAATGGGGCTTAAATTTTTAGTACATTATAGAGAGTGGACTTGTAGAGAGAACCTGTTATAGACAATAATAATTTATATCAATTATATATAGGATGTGAACTGTGTCTTATTCATTTTTTTAACTGCTTCATCTTCATTCCCAGGCATCATTATATGTCGTTTTTCGTTTTGTATATTTCAATTAATATTGGATAGCGCATTGTTCAACAATGCAAATTTTCATAGGGAGATAAGAAAAATATTTATTTAATATATACCTTTTGATTTTGTATAGGGTTTCTTCTCTAATCTGCTTTCATAATGTAAATGAGGAATAATGAAATTAAATTTTACTTTTAATAAGGGTTGGTTTAATTTTTAAAAAATTGGTTGGAGATTATCGAGATATATATGTTTTATTAGTGTAATTATCCCCGCCGATCCTTATTTAAAATCTATGCAGGTAAAAGAGTCACGAATTAATATTTTCCTGTCAAATTTGTACTATATAGTTTGTAGTTGAATTTTTTTATTAATCTAAAATATGGCTTCTGATTAGGCTGGATAACAGATAAAACAAAAGATTCTTTACAATAGTTATTTATGATGACAACATTATTTGAACTTGACACAATGTTGATAATTTCGGACAAAACAAGTTCTTTATCCTATAAAATAGAAGATGTTTTCTCACTTCTACTCTTTCCCACTTGCTAATGATTCGAAATGACTAGCAGAGAAAGTTGCTGCACACAAAAGTCACGTGTTTTATGAATTTTTACCCAATGTTTTGTTACACAGTAAAATCATGTGTTTTATAATTGTTTGTTTATTCTTGGAATTTCAAAAATCTAGAATTGGACTATACTTTGGGTGAGTGTACTTGTTTGAACATTTTTTTTAAAAATATGGAAATATCTTTTAATGAAGATTACAGAGATTTGGTTTGTATATATTTTGAAAATATATCTTCATCAGTTCTTAGAGTAATAACTAAAACAAAAGAAGAGGGAAAAATTTTTTTTTTTCAAGACATCATAGTCCATATCACTGACATCAACCTAATACTAAGAATAATGAATTGTCATCATCTTCAGAATCTATAGATATGTCAGGGAATTTTATTTCGGAATCGTGCCCTAGTGTGAATATTTCAATTATAAAAAACAAAAAGCCATCATGTTGAATGTCATGGATGCTTTTACTTTTGGTATGGAGTTTTAGGTTAGTGATTTTATTTCTTATAAAAAAGAGAGGATATAAAAATATAATATTAACCTTTTTGATTTAAAACTTTAGGTTGTCAACATATAGTAGAAAATTCATTGTTATAACTGTTGACATGATTCCTACAAATTAGATGAATACAAAAGGAGACATTGTCTTTGATTTGTTAAGATGAATTCACCCAGGTTTTTACAATAAAAGACATAGTTGTGCTGATATTGATGGTAGCATAAAAAATTATAAAGAACATTAAATCAAATTATTTAAACCATTGTATCATACCATCAACAACATCCTTATATATATACAGATATATAATAAATTTTTATTAAATGAAAACGAAATTGGATATCAGTTTATAGCTTCTGCCCTCATAATTTTAGTCATTATAATTTATAATAAAAATTAAACAACAAATGGGAAAAAATTTTGTTGTGCATGAATTTGCAGTGAAATTCAAATTAGCCAATCAGAATTTCATATTCAAACACCTCACCCCAAGATTTTAATTATAGATTTCAATTTCACATACAACATAACTAAATACTCAACCAAATTGAATTATAGTATTCAAGAGGATTCAACAGATTCTGATGATCTTTAATTTTTGGAAAAAAAAAATAAATGAATTTTTCTTTTTTTTTGGGTACCAAAAAAGTGTGGCCAAATGCAAATTAATGTTGATATTGTTCAGGATCCTGAAAATCTACATCCTTGACCAATTAAACTATCCCTTTTTCCTACTAATGCTAGTGAAATATATCAATCAGTCGGATGATGATTTCAAATTTTTTGATGATCGAAATTTACACTTGGTGTTAGAGTTTATAACACATTTGGAAATTATCTTTTTTGGCTATCATACCCAATGATCTCCTGCCCATATTTTTTCCTTTTTGATAAATTTATTATCAAAATTTCACATAATATTTTCCATCTTTTCAACCATTCATCAAATTTATAAGGTGATATTGGAAAAAAGTAATGCTATTTTTGAATAATATAATTTTACATAGAGAGCCTCTACCAACATGAGAGAGGATTCATTAGAAAGCTATAATGATATGGTTTTATTTTAGATTAATAATGATGCTTGAATTTTTTATGAAAAAGTGGGGACACATAATAAATAATAAGTAAAATAGACAGATATATTTGTATAATCTTAATCAGGTAATTCATCTGGTATAGTTAAATAAATCTGTTGAGAAACTAAGAAATATTTACCATAAAATGAATATTAATATTATTAATGTTTATTGATATTATAATAAATAAATAAAATAAAATGTTAATAATTACCATAATTATTGATAATTGTCACTTTGTTGGAATTTACAGGTTGAGGAAGATTTGTAAATTTTAATAATCTGCTAGTATAAACAGCATTTGGATGAATTGGTGCAGTAATTGTTGATGGATCAAATTTTATTTTGTCCATTTTTGCAAATTCCTTGCTAATTGATTTTAATTCATCACACTCTTTTTTAGAACGTCCATAATATTCAGGATTATACATTACCATATCATCAAATGAAGTATTCCATAATTTAATAATATAAAGAATTTCCTTGGCAGTTGGACGTTTATCTGGATTAGCATTCATACATCTACATGCTAATTCAATATAGAATTTTGGTGTATTGTTTGAGAACCCAGGTCTTGTACCCTCACATATTTTTATTGCAAGATCTACATCATGTGCCAGATTACTAAATGGTTGTTGGCTAGTTGATATTACAGACATCAGAACTCCAAAACTATAAATGTCTGATGCCATTGTGTATGGTTTCTCTCTTAAAACTTCTGGTGCAACATATGGCAGCACTCCAAATATATCATTTTTGTTTGATGATGATACTTGACTTGCTGGGCATGATAATCCCAAGTCTGTAATATATGAAGTAATAGAATTTTGAAGAATATTACCACTATGAAGGTCATGATGAATGATTTTTTGTTCATGAATATCATTTAGACCTTTAATAATATCACAAAGAATATAGATTTTGTTTTTCCATTTTAAATTTTTAAAATCTTTAGTTAAATAGTTTTGAAGACTTCCATCTTTCACATATTCCATTACAAATATATATTCATTTGTAATCGGATCTTGTGTTAATCCATAAATTTTAATTATATCTGATTTACCATGAAACTTCACATAATTTTTGAACTAAAAAAAAAAATAAATTATTTAATTTCAACAATAATAATGATTAGTGTTTAAGAATCTGAAAAGAAAAATAGTAAAATAATAATAATTTACCTCATTAAGAAATTCATCAGAAATATTCTGTGAATTATGCAATCTTTTTAATGCTACTATACCATCCTCACTAGTTCTTTCATTAATATGATAATTTACACTTTTATAGCCATTTAACCAAGTAGCTTTGAATATAGTTGCAAACCCGCCTTCACCTATCTTTTCAATATTTGTTAAATCATTGTAAGGAATCCATTGAAGATAATATTCATTCTCATACCCAATTGCTTTAAGTTGTGTACTTTTAATCAACTCATCTAGTGTTTCATTACCACTAGTCCATCCCTTGGTTAATAGTTTTGGATCACATGATTGACACCATGCTCTGCTGGTATTATATCTATTGCAAGTTGGACATTTCCCAAATCTTTTCTTTGAATACTCATAATTCTTTATATCTAAAGTCTTTTTATCCTTGAATAAATTTTTGAATTTATCCATTATTTTTTATTTTGCGGAGAAAAAGTTTTTTAAATTTGTAAAACAAAGAACAGTTACGCACAGTTAATTTAATTTCGTAGATCGTTCATTAAAAAATTAATTATAAAATAGTTATACAAATAAAATTTATATTTCACTAAATTTTATTAAATGTTAAAAACATGAAAGCTATGTATGTAGTAAGTAAATATTGAGAAGATATTTCATTATTGTCAAAAATGAGTATCAAAACTATTTGTGGATGGATATCCACTTATGCTGCAGATTTAAAAAGAAAGTATTGTCAGAAATTAGTACTTCAACTCAAATGAGTAATATTTAATATACAGGGATTTGATCGTTTTATTATTATTATAAAATTAATATCCGTTGATTAATTATCAGTGAAAATTTCAACACCCGATTAATTAATCAATGAAAAATTTTCAACATCTGATTAACCAGATAATCGGTGAATATGAATATTAATATCATTCGGCGGATACAACCAACTATATAAAGTATTAATATCGAAAAAACCCCTTCTTATATATGTAGCTTTCTTTTTTTACATTTATAAATAAAATTTAATGGAAGAAACATAAGTTTTATATGTTGAATAACCATTTACAATCCCTCGCCTGAAAAAAATTTATATTATATTTAAGAAAAATATTTCACGAAATTTTTTAATTCGTTCGTTTATTGTTTTTAATTTCTTGAGTGGCTTAAATAATTTTCGATTCCAAAAAAATTTTTCTGTTTTCAGTAACTTTACATTTTAAAAAACCTTGATTAATTTTTTTAACAATAAAGAAACCTGTTTTTTTAGTGAAGCCAAAAATAACCCTTACATTTTCAATTTCAACAGCGAGAAAGTAAATCAGTTCGTTTTTTTTTGGTGGCGATGTGCCTTTACACTTAAAAAAAAAAGTCAGTTTATTGTAAATTGAAATCTGCGTCAATTTGAAATTCACGCGCGTGAAATTTAAATTAGCCAATCAGAATTTTTGTATCCAAACACCCCACTCAAAATTTAGACATTATACAACAAAATTAAATATTAATGAACAAATTTATCTGGGTAAATACTAATAATAATTATAATTATAATTATAATAGTAATAGGCGTGGTAATAGGTCACTTCAATCACAGGAAGGATTTAAAATAGATAGACAAAATATAAAATGCCTTTAAAAAAAATGAGGTGTTTGTACACTTCCTTAAAATAATAAAAAGCCTAATGCAAAAATTTCATAAATCTAAATATCTAATTCCATTTGATTAGAATCTATAAATATAACAATTTATAACATAATAAAAATAATATTAATGTTGAAATTGATATTGCAAGCGTGTAATATACAGCTCGTGATGTGTCCAATAAATATATAAAATAAAATATAAAATATAAAAGTCCAATTTATAAATCTCCCTGTATCCGCACACAGCTCAGGGTTCTCAATACTCTATACCAGGCCTCTGTATCTGCACACAGCCCAGAGCCTACTCAAAATACTCTATTGCGCAATTCTCTCTCTCTCTACAGTACCAATGCTAGTTACTGCTGGCACAAGCCTAAGATAATAAAATAAAAAGAATATATACAAGAAATATTTACAACCATCAGTGTTGTGACCAGAAACTCTTTTGGCTTCCCGAAACGTTTCGGAAAATGAACTTACACTAAGCAGAAATCTAAACCTAAACCTAAACATAAACATAAACATAAACTACTAACCTAAACTAGTTTCGGGTGGTTTCTGTTAGTTCCTGTTTCTGGTTTTCCCTAAACTCAGAGTTTCGGGTCACAACACTGACAACCATACCACTTGAGGCATCCCTACAAGCAGCATAGGACAATCAAACGGGAGTTCCTAACGTCGTTGTCGGAGGTGATGTCGAAATTAAAATTTCGAATCCCTCGAGGTACCGCCCCTTCGTGGCTCAAATATCAAAAGTTCTAAAACTAGCCCCATGTCCAAGGCTCAAAATAAATTTTTCGTCGCAAAGATAAAAAATTCCCATATACTTGTTCAACCGGTCCTAGTAAATACCAGACCAAAACTTTTTTTTATAAATCCAATTTTCTCTTTTTTATTTTACTAAGACCAAAATAATAAATATATAAAGTACTAGAATCCACCAAAATCATCAAAATCATCAAAATCATCGTCCCTAGTAGTGGTCCAAACTGGTCCTAGAAGAATTTAAACTCCAAATTCCGAATGAATCAGAACTCCTGTATATATAAGATTTAAAGCCTAAACGCTGAATGAATTGGTTCTCCTGTATAAGATATAAGAAGCGGACTCAAAATGAAATTTTCACCGCATAGATAAAAAAATCGAATCGAATTGATCTGCATAATACATATTACACAAAAAAATAATTAGAAAAACGCTTTAATCAGCTGCCATACTCCCCTAATACTAAGAATTCAGATTATTTAGAACCTTCTTAGCGAGTTTTACAGCTTTCTTATGCTCTTTGGCCTTTTCCTTTTTTTCCTTAGCAATAGCTTCTTCAGCAGGAGTCTTTAATTTAATTGATCCATTCTTAGATACAAAAGTATGTTTATTAGTACCGCAAACAACATATTTGCCAATTAATCTTTTCCGACCACTTTCGGTAGTTTCCAATTTTTCAGATGCGGAATTTGTTTTAGAACGGCACTTAACACAATAAGATCAACACCCAGCAATTCAAAAAGTTATGGAGAAATATTTTGCTAAAATATGTAATTACTATGATCAATATATTTATGCCTTAATAATTAATATGTTTAATATTATATTTATATTGTTGTGCTTTTTTTTTTTTATATTGATATATTAATATGTGTTTATAGGACAAACTGCAATGAGAACAGCTCGTGGATCTCTTGTACAATGAATAAAAAAATGCTATGTTTACTATATTTGGAAAAGATAAATTAGATTATATAAACTCACAATCTTCAATAAAAGAATTAAAAGAATGGAAAACCCTCAAAAACTGAGTGGTGTAGAAAAAACTTGTTTAAAATAATGGAAAATAATAACAATAATACATATATTGCTGTAATTATATCGAAAATATGGCCAGCTGGTATTCCATCTCAGAGCTCACCCTAATTTTGCAATGACAGTTGTAACTTTACATCTAGATCCTAAATATGGAACAGATATGAAAGACAAGCATGTTGTTATGAGGATGCAAAAGTTCAAAGTATGTTTATTATTTTTTATATAAGTTTGTATCTTATAAATTAATTAAAAATGTTATATTTTATTTTATTTTATTTTATAAAGGGAGTAGATAATAGTGATGACATTATTATTGACTGACAAATATGAGAGATTAGCCATCAGTGAATCAAGTGAACCAAGTGATTCAAGTGATTCTAATGATGCCAGCAATTCTGAGAAATATAGCAATCGAAGTGAAAATGAATCAACACTTGGTTTTATGAATTTGAATGACATTGAAGAAATTTATGTTAATGATATTTGCTCTGAATAATTATTCTTCACGCATATGTTTAATTTAATGTAAATATAAATATTATTAATGTAAATGTCAAATATTGCTAAATTTCTAAATTAGCTAAATAAAAATTAAAATAACACAATGTTTAATAATGAAAATTTTATGAATTTGTTAAATAAAAATTAAAACAACACAATGTTTAATAATGAAAATTTTATGAATTTGTTAAATAAGTATTAAATAATCTTAACATAAATTCTGTATAGGGTCTATTGAATAATGTTATTTTCGTCATGTGCTATATAATGCTATAAATAATGCATTTTTAATTTCCTGATGTTACTACTACTACTAACAATATTATCTTTATTTTTCTCTTCTTTATTCACCCAGGTTTCGATTTTATCTAATGATGGAACTTGTGGTCTTCTTTGATAGCAATAGAATCCAGATAATGTTCCAGTACTGAGTTTAATTTCTCTGGATAATGCATCATACATTTTAGTATGAGAATATCCATTTTTTTTTCTTCTTTTGTCAAAGACGTATATAAATTCATTCCAAATTGTTTTGATTTCATTGGAATATTCTGATCTATGACTTCTAACAGAAGTGTGTCCTATATAATATTAGACTCATTAGTATGGATGATAATGATCCTGGAATAAATGGATTTATGTAAAATAGGTTAGTAAAATTATATACCTTGACTTAGTATTTCGCCTCTCCATTCTGATTCAGCATTTATTTTATTGATTTCATTCTTGAGTTCTAAAATATCTTTTTCAAGATTTTTTGTAGCGACATCTTGATGCTTTGAATTGTTTTTGAATATCCATATCATAATTACAATAATTACATATGGTGTAATGAAACCCAAGAAGAAAAAAATGTTGATTAATGTTAAGTCAGTATACATTTTGATGATTTATTTGATTGATTGATTTTATTTGATATATTTGATTTTATTTGATTTATTTGATCAATTATTTATTTGATCAATTGATTTAATTAATTTTTGATTGATATTTTAAACAGATTTTTTGGTTGATATATTTGATTGATTAATTTTTTGATCAATTTTTTTGAATAGGTGTTGCCATTACAAAATAGAAGTAGAAAAGTGAATTTATCTTTGAATTTATATATAAACCTTCTATCATTACTTGTAATCAGAAATTAGAAATAACAAATCTACTATACCAAATGGATCTTCTATGGGCGATCATATACATTTTTAATTGAATATATACTGTGTATAATATTAATATATATACAATGATTAATATCAAAAAAAGAC